TTCCAATGTTTCTTTGACGTTTTTGTCCCTTCGTGAAATGGGCCCTGTGAAGTACGCTCAAGAGTTTAAAAACGACTACTTACGAGACCGCAAACTTAAAGACTGCGGGTTTAAATCACATGAACAAATGACGTTTTAGCGAACAGCGGCATTTGAGCGAATCGACGTTTTAGCGAATAATGGGGGCGCGCGTTACTAACCCATCCGCCGCGCTGCGCTTACGCCGCTTCGCGGCGACAGTCTGCGGCGGCTCATTACAAAAATGTGAACCGATTTGGCCCACCCGAAAACGCCGCTTCGCGGCATCCGACTATTCGCTAAAGTGTCATTCGGTCAAACGTGGGCGTTCGCTAAAACGTCATTCGATAAAGTGAGTGCCTCCCCTGTGAAGCACATGGATTTCGTCACGCGCGCTGCCACGAAGAAGCATGTTTCGGCCGCCGCACCTTTCTCCTCTGGCAGGCAGACGACTCTACGAGTTGAACTGAAGTCTGACCAGTCACGCACTTCTGAGGGTCTCTTGCCATGATCGAATTCGCTCACTCTGCAGCACTCTGCTGTTTTGGCTTCGGATGACCTGGGTGAACTGTGGCATGGCGTGACAGATTTCTAGTCGAAACGAAAGGAAAGCTTCCTTTCAGATTACATTGATATGATCTATACTGTTATTATACCTTCGGGCAAGAATTACAGCAAAAACAAATTGATAAAAAGTCGTTTTTGTAATGTGTTTTGGATCTAGCAGTTTTTAGCGGTTTTCGGGATTCCGTTTGCGGATTTTCAATTTTTGAGTTGGCAACACTGGTCCTTCCTTAGGGGAGGAAAGGTCTTGTAACCTATGTTCCTTTAGAAAGAGAGAAACTTTCGTCTCTGAAGCAGGGGAGCAAAGTTCCTCCGTCGCTTGCATCTCAATATGGCGGCCCTGAATCGAGCAAATTGAGCCCAATAAGGCTTGAGGAGGACGCTACGTCTCTAACGTCCCTTGTACGGGACGAGAGGAGCAGCAAATAAAAGCGCAACACGAGCTTTCCGCGAACTGTGTTTCTTTCCGAAGCCAGATTCCCCCCACAGGTACAGTAACTTGCGTTTCGGAAGCAGTTACTCAGTCTTCTCGTCGACAGCACTGCGATGTTAAGCGGAGACAACCGATACCCAGTTACTTAGCGCACTTTGCGTCTTACCTTTGGTGTTCCTCAAGTCACAATTCCTTCGTCAACCGCACATCACGGAGAAGGGCAAACTCAGTCCGCGAAACCAAAAGCTGCTCTCGAAAGAACAAACTCGAAGCCGCTGTTTATCGCGTAGCGTGAAAGAAGGTTAAATCGCTAGCCACCAGAAGGCGGGGTCAAGCAGAGTAATTGCAAGTAGCTAGGCTAGGTGGCGCTAGATACCACCCAATCCATGTTCTACAAAAAAATAATTTGATTTCCTCAAGCCGCTATTCGCGACTCCAGCGAAATCGACGCCACCAAGCGGCAAAACGCGGTAGCTGTGAAAGTAGGTTCTATCGCTGTCGCCCTACTCACGGAGGCGGCGTCTTTGTTTCTTTTCAGTTGGGCAGCGTTTTTCTCGAGGCTTAGGGATTCATTACGATATTTATGGCACCTCGAGCGAAACAAGACAAGCTAAGGGCGTCTAAACAGTTTTGTTTTGTCCCAGGTTGCGTATCAGCGAGATGGAAAGGTGTGACAACATCCTACCACAAGTTCCCTGCCCATGGAATGCCGCGACGGAGCGTGTGGATCCACAAGTTACAGATCGGCAAGAAAGTGACTGGTTCTATGGTGGTGTGTTCAAGACACTTCATAGGCGATGACTTCTTTTTCCCGGGTAAGTGCTCTTTCTTTCTGTCTCCGCGCCGAAGCACGCGATCGCCGCGCGTAGCCCCCGCGCTGCACTGTATCCCCGAGTGATTAAGAAATGGAGCAGCCCGCAAGCAATAAAAGCAAGTGACTGATAATACTACAAGACGAAAACGTTCGGGGTCTTTGCTCATCCGGCTTAACACAAGACGTTAACGAAGCAAAAAAAAAAGCGTAGCGAGCGATACGCAAGCGCTACCGTGTCGTAAAACGGATCCATAAGATCAGCTGATGGACGGACGAGAAAACAAGTTTCCACGGCATCCAAGATTTCATGAGATTTCGAAACCAAATGCTAGAAAACTAGAACTGCTTCTTTTCTATTTATAACTGAGCAAAGGGAACAAGCCATTAAGGTTATACCCCTGCCAAGCTCAGCATATGAAAAATCTCTAGCATGTTGCAAAACGTTCACATCGAATTTTAGTATGAATGCATCATAAATAGAAGTGTCCGAAGCTTCACCTCCGTCCATTTAAAGGCTGATTTATGCTATTAATTCTGGGATGAGTGAGCGCACATTTTAATCTAAACAGCAATATTCTTTTATTGCTTATTTCAAGTGAACTTCATGTGTGCGTCAGTGATTCAGGCTAATCATTTTTCTACAGGCGTGGAATGCAAAACACGGCGGTTAAAGAAAGGTGCAGTCCCAAGCGCGAACCTGCCGAATTCGTCAGCCTTTGATGCACGCAAGGCTGCCCGCCTGGAAAAGCTGAACCAGTCCAGGTCGTCTAGGCTTGCTCAACGGTCTCTTCGTTTGAGCTCGGTGAATGTTGTGGAGTGGTTGACGACATCTCCCACAGCTGGTAAAACCATCTCAGAATGATTGAGATATCTGTTTGCTTCTTGAACCATTTAAAAAGAGAAGCATACATTGTTGCAAGTTAGTGTCACGACAAAAAACATAAGCGGCAAAATGCACATTGCTATGTGTATGTTCTGTTCCTTCATTTTGTTTTTCTAGTCTAGGTTCAGCTAGCGTTACCAAATCTTGTATGCCTGACATGTTGCTAACCTGTTGTACCAGACCTCTCAATCAGGCAGACCTCTGTATTCTGTATGAATGAGTTTTCTAATGTGCACAACCTTCTCTTTGATTCTGTTAAGGAAATGACGAACCAAGGTGATTTCACTGAAGGCGAGCAAGCTGACCCACTCTTGTGTCATCACACGGATGTAAGCTACAATTTTATATGCTATTTGCTAGGTTCATCACATTAAATATGTGTAAATATTTCCTTGCCAACAGGCATCACTTAAACAATGTGACCCAGCCTCGCAGTTGTTTTTATCAACCCCCTCTAGTTCAAAGCTTGCAGTAATTAAGTGGGTATCTTCCTACGCTCTCTTCGTGTTAAGCTCCTATCAAAATTGTTGCATTCAGCATGTAATAATTTTATCTCCATTCAATGCTCATTCTCGGCGAATTCAGGCAATTGGTTGGCTTTTTTTATCTCCCTTGAGGACTGCATGCTCTCTTCTAGATCACAGCTCAGCAAAAGCACCTGTGGATCAGAAGCATTGAATGCGAAAGGCTTGCGCGACAGAAGTGTCTGATGTAATGTTTCAGACTGCATGGGAAAAATGGCAGCTCTAAGTGGCTAGAAAAGACACTTCCGGGCACACACTTCCGACTGTGCAACGGGCATCTTGGGGCACATTGTTCCCTCTAGCTTGACCCTTTTCGCTATCACAGCGGGAGGCCACTTGTCTAACTGCACTTCAAATCTAAGAAAGTCACTGGAAAAATACGAAGAAGATGACAGTTTTCCAAACAAAACTCCAAAATCCAGGCCCGTATCCAGGGAGGCGGCGAGTTCCTCAGTGGCTTTGCTGCACTGGATCCCCCCTCTCATTTCTCCGAATTGTTGCCATTTTCTTTCTAACCTGAAACGGCATGTGGGCCAATGCAAGGCGAAAAGGGCCTGGTATGAGGAGCTGTCGCTACTTTGCAAAGCATATCTAGGGGCCTTAGGTAAAACTATCTCATAGACATAATGTAGTAATGTGCTTGCTACCAATTCACGTATTATCCACCTGTATTATGGTGCCTGGAACGCGTCTCCGACTGGTGTGTCTACCGCGGCCAAAAAAGTGGTCCTTCGATTTCCGCCTGATGACGTCATAAAAGTGTCATGTTGTCGCCGGTCGCGACCCTGGCGGTGTCCTAACAGTTGTGGTAAAGATGGCAGACGCCTGTTCTGCTGAAGGTCGCTTTCCATTGTGACAGTTCACGGAAGCTAGAGCAGCCGGAAGTTGGGACGCCTAAAGCAACGACGTGACGACAGCGACACTTGCGTTCGCTCTTGCTTTTCGCCAGCATTTCTACGGCCAACCGCCAGGATCGCGACAGGCAACAGCATGACACTCGCGTCATTTGTTGCCACATTGGGACGACTTTTGATGTATGGGCGGGAAAGGGCGGTAAACACACCAGTCGAAGACGCAATCGAGGCACCATACCTGTATCTCCGCGCTTCAAGTGCTCGAGATTGCTGGAAATATGCAGTTTCGTACTAACTGCAGCTTCAGTTATTTGCGACTTTCAACCAAGTGCACCTTTTAATTATTGGGACCGGATGGTGGGAGCAGCATAGATAAAAACAGCATGCCATTCAATGAGGTGTTTATTATGTTCTTGTCTCCTTAGGAAAACAGTGACCCTTGCGAGGAGCCCCTTCTGGATGAAGAAGATGGCCTTTTTTCTGCCAACGAAAGGGAAATGGCAGAGGTGCTGGCTGGCATGTAGCACACACTGCTGGAGTTGAGCCCGTCAGCAATCAAGACAAAGGAACACAAGTTTCGAGCGGCGACTTCGGAGGAAACTTTTCGTCCCTTTTCACAAAAGACAACGTGAACTCGTTTACAAGGCTCCCATCCCTTGAAGTGCTTAATGCACTTGTGTCGTGTTATGGGAAGATTGTAAGGATAACGAACAAGCATCAGTTATCTGCAAGAGAACGAGTGGTGCTCACCATGAAGCTAAAACACAATGTCTCAACAACATTCCTGAAGAGCTTGTTCAGGTGTTCCCTTTCGATATGCACCAGAATAATCGTCGAAACAACAAGAGTTCTGTCGCAGATCTTGCGCTCAATTGTTTGCATTCCCTCAAAAGAGGTAACTCTTGACAACATGCCAGTGCACTTCCGGCCTTTTCAGAATGTCCGGCTTGTGCTAGACTGTACAGAAATGGCAATAGCCCAACCGAAGTGCTTGAGGTGTGCGCTGCTGACCTACTCCTTTTACAAAAAAGGATTTACGTGTAAATACATGATCAGCGTTACACCAAGTGGCGTAATTTCTCATATAAGCAAGGGCTATGGTGGCAGGGCCTCAGACAAAGCCATTTTTGAGCAAAGTGGCGTGCTCGACTCCTTGTTGCCAGGGGTGGATGCAATTATGATTGATCGTGGCTTTTTAATTGATTCATTTTGTGAAGATCAACTGATCACAGTCATCAGGCCTCCCTTCAGGCAACAAGTGCAGCTGTCAAAGCAACAAGCCCTGCAGACGCAGAAGATTGCGTCGGCTCGCGTGTATGTTGAACGAGCAATTCAGTGGATGAAAATATTCAAAATTCTAGCAAGTAGGATTCCGTAAAGCATGCTGGGCATTATGGATGACATCATGCTAGTGATTGCAGGAGTAACGAACCTATCTGCATCGCTGTTCGCTGAGGAGAGGTTCCTGTAAATGACCCAAAGTGCACAGCGGGTCAATGGATGCCCGAGAGTACTATTTTGCAGAGTTAATTCAAGCAGTCTTTGATCTCATCAGTTACTTTTTGCTAGTTAGGTTTTTATAAATTGTGCTTTGCTAGTTTTGTTTAGGGCAACTCAATTCAAATCAAGCATTCCATACAACAGTGCTTTAAACAATAGACCGATTTCACCAGCCAGTTTGACTACGCCACCGCTGCCGCAATGCATCGAGGGAACTTTAGTCTTTCTGCAAGTGCGACAACCCCGCTGGAGCTCTGTGCGTGTGGAGCGCGAGACGGCACGAGCCCTAGCATGCACGGCCGTCTGCCTCCTGTGAACTAAAGTTATGGCGGCGTCAAGCATGCGACAGAACTCTTGTTGTTTCGACGATTATTCTCGCTTAGATTAATCTCGCAATAGATTGAACTCGCTTAACGAGATTTATCTATTGCTGCCGTACGTTGTTTTTTTGTGTTTTTTTTTGCTATGGATTCCAGTTGAGGTAGCTCACACTGACTGAATTACCTGTTAATCAAAAATTTCAGCATCAATTTTAATAAGTGGACTGCCACTACTCATGCAAATGAAATCAACAAACTTGTAGCGTCGTGAAAAGCGCGGGCAGGGGTCCCAACACAATATTTTATATTTTCATGGGGTGGCAGGAGTTTCGGAAGCACTGCCATGCAAGATATGGAAGCACCTGTGCATTTAAACATAGTTCTTTGTGTCGTGCGTATCTGAATCATGTAAGTAAACAATTTCACTGTTTAGACAATGGACTTGCAACTTATATATGGAATTAATATGCATACTTTGCAGTAGCCCATGCAAGGTGCTGCATGCGATATTGGTAAATCTTCCTTCATTCAATACAATGGGCAGACATAAAGATTATACAATTCTTGCTATTTTTTTTTGTGGGACATGTTTATCTAATATAACAGTAACCCTTGCATAGAAAAATAAAAGTAAACACACAACACATTAAACATACCATGGCCGACAAAGCCAACGAAGCCACAGGAGTCTGCTGCTTCAGACTACTTGCTTGCGTCGTGCCGACAGCGAGGCAGACCATTCCCATTGACCGGTGGCTGGTTGCGAGATAAGCAGCTATCATCGTCCGGCTATCCGTCCATTCCATTTCTGGTAGTGCTGTGTTACTATATACTGAAAGTCATTCACCTCATTGGTGCTGTCTATGCTGGCTTTGCAGTATTCGGTCAGTTGACCACACGCCCATCAAACGAATAAAAAACTGAGAAAAAGCAGGTCACAGTTGTGATTGCTTTGTTTTTTTTAACTATTTCTCAGGATGCACGATCAGGGGAGTATTACAAGCGTAACCAAGGTAATATGAAATGTTTAAAGAACTAGTGTCAGCAACACTCCCAACACAAAATATTTTGAACAAATTGGGCTCAGGTAACTGAATATAGTTAAATGAGTGTAGAGAATGCTGCCCGAGGCAAAAAAGCGCAAGTCCACAGCAGAACAGCGCTATCAGAACTAGCAAGGACGGACAGTGAGACGACGATAGCTACCAACCTCGCAACCAGCCACCGTCCAATAGAAGTGGTTCGTCTCGCTGCCGGCACGACGCATGGGAGTGATCTTGAGGCCGCATGCTCCTGCGGCTTAGTTAGCTTTGCCCATCACTCTATCTAGGGATGTGCATGCAGCCCATTCTTAACCACATTTCACACCTTAACACGTTGGAGTAGCTCCTTGAAGATACGTCTCTCGTAGACCTCGTGAATCGTTCCCTTAAATTCTTCAAACTTCACGGCATCAAAGACAAGATGACGCAGACGGAACGTATTCTCATCAACATAGACAAAGAAGTTAGTGCTGTAAATTCCGGACACTACTATCTGCACATTTACCTGTGAGACATATTCAGTCTTCACCTGCCTCTTACTAAAGTTGGAGAAAGCATTTTCCAGTTTGCAAGGGCACTTCACTTCCAGGAGAACCTTCCTGCCCTACTGAAAAAACCCGTATAAAAATTCATACTGGTTGACCCGTATATCTCACACTGAGTTATGGGATACGGGTCTCCCGTATGCTACTGGAAACCCGTACCTGTACAGGTTGACCCATTCAGATACAAGAACCCGTTCAGATACGGGGCCCGTACCTGTACGGGCTGACCCGTTTAGGTAAGGGAAACCGTGCCTGTACGGGTTGACCCGTTTAGATACAGGAATTCGTACCTTACAGGTTGACCCATTTAGATATAGGAACCGATATTTATGCATGTTCATCTGTTCAGATAGAGAGACCTATATCTTTAAAGGTTTATTCGTTCTGACGCAGTAATAGGAATCAACATGGTGTCCAACGTTTGCAAACGGATGGATGGATCTTTGCAGGTTTAACAATTCGCATGCATTTGTCATGCAAAGAATGAGCATGAGCCAGGTCACTTCAGGTTATATGTGTATTTAGTGAACGCAAATTGGCATCTGCAGAACACCAACAAGAAGCTTAACCTCTAAGCAAGCTTAGAAGTCAAGCTTCTAGTTAATATCCTGCAGTAGGATATTAACAAATTTGCATACTGCAGTAGATTCACCCGAGCTGTCCTCTTCCCTGGAGAGGCCTCTCGAGGATGCCTCCATAGGTACTAGTTGAAGGCATCTGCAGGGGAAAAGAATACAACAATAAGTCATGTATATCTACAGTCTCCTGAAAAATTGAATATTTCCTGCAATTATAAGCAAGCAATTTCCACTACAATTTATGCTTTGTTAATATCTTGTGACACCATGTAGACCCCAAGAGCAACTTCTTACGATTACGCAGTCTGCTTAAAACAGCAGGCATGCATGATTCGGCCCGAAAGTTTTGAACCAGTTCAGACCGAGTTCAGAGGAGTGCAGAAGCAGTGCGCAAGTCGGGCTGCGGCTGCGTGAACTTAAGCTGCAGCGTTACAAACGACCCTGTAATTGGTTTCTGAAAGACCGAAGAGTTGCCATCTGTTACTGCATGAACGCTGAACTGACTTTGGCCAGCACAAGAGTCTGTGGAACTGAGGCTGAGCTCGTGCAGCACTGGGATAAATCGAAAAGGCCAGTTCAGCGTCCAAGCAACTTCCGATTGAATCTAATGCATCAGTTCTTACACTATATGAACTATATCGGCTGGTTCAAGCAAATGGAAAAGACCTAGCGTGACTTGCCACAACTATGCACTTAAAGTTTGCTTGCAACAGTGTGTTCCTTGCATTTCAGTGTTTATGAAAATTATAGACGTTGGAGCAGGGGACAAAAAGGAACGGAAAGACGCGAAGCTCCGGAGCTTTGTGTCTGTCTGTCCCTTTTTCCCCACGTTCCCGGGTTACCACGTCTATCCTTAACCAGCTCGCCTGCTTGTTAACTAAAATAAAAGTATGTTCTATAAATCTAAATATCTACTTTCAATTATGAACATGGGCTTCTGATTGCCTACAACCTCTAACTTATTTCATGCCCAACAATGTCACCATGGGAACAAGTGAAAGGAACACTGAACACAATTCTCGACTGGCAGTTTTAGTGCGAAAGAAAGATTTTGACCTGCATTTGTTGTTCTGGGCATGTATATAAATTGACATCACAGATTTGATATCAAGAACCATTTAACTAATTTAATATCCGTGTTACGACCCTTCGATGGTCTATTCATACGAGATAGTTCCCTGGTGAGAAAACTGAGCACGAGAAAGGAGGAATACCCACGATGATAACGCGGTTCAGAAAAAATGGGCAGTACTCAAAGGACAGAGCCAAACATAGTTCGGTTGTAGCAGTTCTAGTGAACAAACAGACTCACTTTCACAACTTTGCTAGTGCCAGCTTTTCGTTCAAAAGAAAAAATAAGTGCCTCAGCAGAAGGTCCTGCGAGCAGGCCACTGATATCATGGACCTCTCCCAAAACTTGCAGGGATTAGCAGATATTTGCAATGCGGAGCATGTTACTTTAAAACCTCTTCAGTGTGAATACATCAGAAAGCACCAAGCGACCTAGATGACCATGACAAGGTCACTTTACTTTTCTTCATATATTAAAAACAAAGAGGAAGATAGGGCTTCTTCATTTCGGTTTTGCGCTCGGAGCTTCACGTTCCTAAAGCTCGAGCTAGTCGAACTGTGACCCTTCAACAGCCTATAACACTGAAAGTTCTGAAAGCCTTGGAATATTTTATCACAATAATTTTGTCGTAGCAGGTTGCAACTTCAGAAGCCATGAGGTTTGAGTGACTCACCAAGTATGAGACATCTGTGAGAAGTGGGCACTTACTGCTGCCAACTTGACTGGAGTCAGGGCCCTCTTGGCGACGGCGCCCTTGAAGCGCCGGCATGGCACCCCAGTCACACTCTGCCCGTGCAGGTTCTCCCTGCCGAAGATCAACTTCGTGGACTCTTTAACCAACATGGAGTCTCCCCGGGCTCCCCTCACGTAGAACAGTTTGCCCTTTTCCATCAAGACACCATGGCAAAGGTGAACCTAGAAATAGATAGAAATGCTCTACACGAAATGCAGCCAGCCATTGGTCCCGATCTCATTGATCTTTCGGAAACTTGTGCAGACGTCTGCCGCACAATGCCGCTTTTTTCGGACGCAGGACATGCGAGGCAGCTCCTCACGCAACATCTTGGGGGTATTCTTTTCGGAGCCAATCACAGAAATTCACCACGGGCACTCACTACTCGTCTCCAAGTTCTCAATGTAAAGAACAACTCATCTTGAAGTACAGAACAGAGAGTGGAACAAACATAACTGCAACGGAATCGCATAGCAAACAGTTCCAGCCATGCATGTCGTCTGCTATGCACACAAAAAAAAAAAAAAACACGGAGGGGAAAACAAAAAAGCTCACGGTCGGATGTAGCCACGTGACTTCCGCCCACT